CCCCAGTGTGCGGCGCGTTGAAGGCGGCGTTCCTGTTCAGGATGTTGCTACAGAAATGTCTGGACGAGGGTCAGTTCCCTGATAGGTGGAAGGTACAAAAGCTTGTACTGTTGCCGAAGCCGGAAAACCGCCGGTGGATCCTGCATCGTATAGGCCAATATGCTTGCTGGATACTGTCGGAAAGCTCTTGGAGAGGATCATCCTGAACAGGCTGACGAAATGCACGGAGAGTGAACATGGGTTGGCGGAGAGGCAGTTCGGATTCCGCAAAGGGAGATCGACGGTGGATGAAATTCGAACAGTGATTGACAGAGCCGAGAAAGCTTCCAAACAGAAGCGGAGAGGAAATCGATACTGCACCGTGATTACGATTGAAGAATGCATTCAATAGTGCCAGCTGGGAGGCCATCGCCAAGGCGCTACATAGAATGAGGGTTCCAGACTACCTCTGCAGGATTCTAAGTAGTTACTTCCAGAACCGGGTCCACGGCGGGAGTTCCACAAGGCTCCATTCTAGGTCCCACGCTGTGGAACGGAATGTACAATGGCGTGCTGACGCTTAAGATGCCCAAAGGACAACTGTCGTCTTGACAGTAACCGGTGAGACGCTGGAAGAAGTGGAAATGCTGGCGGCCGAGGCGATAGATACGATTGATAACTGGATGCAAGGAGCCCACCACAAAACAGAAGTGATGTTGGTCAGTAACTGCAAAGCAGTGCAGTGGGCAGGAATCACCGTTGGAGAGCACACCATTGTTTCGAAGTGCGTGCTGAAGTATCTGGGAGTGATGATTGACGACCGGCTAAACTTTAACAACCACATCGAATATGCTTGCAAGAAGGCGGTGAAGGTCATCAACGCAATAGCTAGAATCATGCCGAACAATTCTGGTCCAAGCAGCAGCAAGAGGCGGCTTATGGCTAGTGTGTCCTCATCGATACTAAGGTACGGAGGTCCAGCCTGGATTGAGGCGCTGAAAACAAAGCAGAACCAAAGGAAATTGAGCAGTACGTTCCGGCTCATGGCCATGCGAGTCGTGAGTGCGTACAGAACCATTGCGATGGAGGCAGTATGCGTTATCGCCGGTATGATCCCAATCGACATCACCTTGGCGGAGGACTACGAGTGCTATATGACGAGAGAAACGAGGAAAGTACGAAAAATGGTGAAAACGGTGTCGATGGCTAAGTGGCAGCAGGAGTGATGCGGCAGAGCACGGTAGATGGACACACAGGCTAATACCGATTCTTTCGACCTGGGTGAACAGGAAGCATGGAGAAGTCAACTTCCACTTGACGCAGTTCCTGTCTGGTCATGGCTGCTTCAGGAAGTACCTGCATCGGTTCGGACACACAACGTCACCCTTCTGTCCGGAGTGTGGGAATGTGGAAGAATCAGCAGAGCATGTGGTCTTCGAATGTCCTAGATTTGATGCTGTGCGAGAGGAGATGCTCGCCCTTAGCACGGAGAATGTCGTCGAAGAAATGTGTTGAGAGGAGGGCACCTTTAACGCCGTCAGTAGAGTAGTAACTCAGATCATGTCAGTGCTGCAGCGAAAATGGCGAGATGACCAGCTAGAAAGTAGTAATGTGCTCACACAAGTACGAAGTGAAAGCCGAAGCCGGGAGAACTCTCCGTCAGAGTCAGAGTAGGATGAATCCACCACCGGGGTTAACCGAGTAGAACGCGACGCTGGGAGCTAAATGGCTCACAAATTGGAGAGACGATCAGCGAACTGGAAGCGCCAATTAGCTGAGGTAAAGTGAGGTGCGTAATGCACGGCCCCCTCCGAAGTAATACGACAAGTGGTTCCGGGGGAAAAGGGCAAGGCGTCCAAGGAGGTTTTAGTGCGGCAAGAATTCCACACACCATGTCACCGCGACCGTGCGCCCGGTCGTCAAGCGGTGGCACTATGGCCTTTTGAAGGTTTCCTCCTTGCCAAAAAAAAAAACACACACACACGCACACACAACATTCGACCTAAGAGAAGAGGTGACAATACGGGGGCGAAAATGAACCACTTTTCTGTCAAACGTGAACCAGCTCCTGATTGGCCGATCTCATGTGCGTAAGATAGAGATAGAGATAGATTAAGATAGAGATAGAGATAAAAATAAAAGAGGAAGAAGCCAATTGTCACCTCTTCCCAGTGTTGGCAAAATCAGAAATCAATTGATATTTTTCCGCTCTCATGCGCTCGCAATATCACACGTGTTATTGGAACAAAATATCATGCTTGATATTGATTTTACAAGCTCCTTTGATATTGCGAGACTATTCACAGCGTGCAAAAATCAAGCTGAGAGTTGACTCGACACAAAAATGATTCCACTGCACATCGTTTTTTTTAGAAAGAGAGAGCATAGTTTGCTATTTCTTTTTAATCTTCACCGATGGCAGACTCGAAGGGACTGCTGCAAGCCTTTATGGAAGTTTCGGTTGCATTCGGGTGTAAAGCAAAAATCATTAAACTCAATCTCACCACAGTTTGGTGAGATTTGCAGTTGGTGAGTTTTGTTAGCTTGATATTCCGAGCTGCGATATCACAGCTTGCAAAATCAACCGCAGTAGTTTGCTTGTAGAATTTTGTCTACGAAAATCAAGCGTGATCTTGGGCGTTGGTGAGATTTGATTTTTTGATATTTTCCCAACACTGCCTCTTCCTCTTAGCATTCGACAAGCACCTTGCGTCCGGGAGGCAGAACGCTAGCACGCAGCAAGCAAGGGAAGAAAAACTGCACACACAGAGCACGACTGAACTGCTAACGTTGGAACCCAAACGTGAGCTGTTGTATCGTTGCGCCATCTTTGCGGCCAAAACTTGAGCTATTTTTATCTACCAAATTGTAGTCCTAACGAATACAAGAATCTTGACTCAAGACGTCAACTCAATTGGATGCAATGCTATTATTATTATTTTCCTGCTAGATTTAATTCCTGGACCACTGTAGTCTGAAGAATTATCGTGACAATATACCCAAGAAAAAAAAAAACGACTAAGGCTATGTCCCAATTGCCGAGTTAAATTTAACTCGTGATTGAAAATGACATTTCAAAACTTATTTTCAATATCTTCGAAAATCCTCATGTTATCCTTCGATCGGTTTTCAAACAGACCTTAGCCACGGTTGTCAAAAAATTGCTTCTAGTCTGTCAGAAATAGCCACGCTCGGATAGATGGGTTATTCGATAACTTTCCACCTGTCACTTTTAACCACTAGTTAAATTTAACTTGCCAATTGGAACACAGCCTAAGTCCACGTAAATAGAACCACTGAACTGTCATCCGTTTGTGGTTAACCACTTACGGTGCAGAACCTGATTGGTCAATAATTGTCCAGAATAGATCTCTGCAATAAGTAAACATCAGTGTTTCGTCTTGGCAGCTCAGGCGCTTCTGACAGGAACAATTTGTTTATGTGATCATGAATAAACACTTCAAAACCACGATTGTGAGATAACTGTCCTCAGCAGTAAATCGGTATTATTTTAATCCACATGTGTATGGAGCTCAAAATCGGGAGAAAAACCGATTTATCGGTAGCAGCGTCTGATTTTATCGTTTACCATCATAAGCAAGGAGTAGCGCTTCAACCCAGTGTAGATGAATTCCGTTTATTTTGAAAATATTCACTGTTACGTACGAGCGAAATGAATAAATGAGTTCATTATACATCAACGAATACGCGTTTGTTGATATTCACCAGTGCTTGATTATCAAACCTAAAATTGTCAAAATCAGAAGCGATCTTCAAAAGCAAAATAATCAAATTCATTTTGAGAAAAATTATTATTTTAAATTTTGTCGACCCCAGAGCCTAAAACCTAAATATTTACATCAATTCAGCATGAGGCAATAATTTTCCATCGATCTGTGTGTAAAAACCAACACGACACGTTCTTGAACGCTATATTTGTGACAAATTAAAATCGAGATGAAAATAATCAATTTGCATTTTATCGTCAAAATCATTCCCACCAAAATGAAGACGAATATTAATATTGACAACATAGAGGCGATAATGAGCATCCAGCCATGGATGAAGAAAAAAAAAATTTGACTTCGATACTCAGAGGTTGCCTTGATCAAGAAAATGCTTTTATTATGTCAAAATCTAACGTTGTCTTCATTTAACGTTGTCTTCATTTTCAGCTAAGTTGAGTGTAGAAGAAATAATTTTTAGCAGCACTGATTGGTAGATCTGGAAACGCTGATTGATAGATCCGACCACGATATACATACCAGGCTAGCTCATTAGAGAGTAAACATCAACCGAAGTAGGCCGAAGTGGTGTCATCAGAATCGTTAAAGTAAACAGTGCAGGAAGGAACATTTTTTCACAGTTCTCGGGTTTTCGACGTGCCTCACGGAATTTGAATCCATCCGGGCTTTGGCACATGGTTTCAAACCCGGACCTCAAGCAGCTCTGAGAAATTGCATTTGATGTTGTAGAGAATCCTGATAGCTTCGTGTTCCTGCAGCATCGAACATCCAACACAAGTTTCAGCACCGGAGCCGGTCCCTTCGGGGTGTTTTCTTACGGTAATCGATGAGATTCTACGAGGTGGAAACAGGGGTGGAAAGCCGTTTCTTCGACAGGAATTTGCTGTGGCTCAGAAAAGCATCACCACGGATGCTACATTCGAGGGTAGACTTTTTAAACCGGCGATTTCATTGTCGTTGCATTTTCCATTGCATTTAATGTGGTTATCATAAACTTTATCTGACCGCAGATGTATGATTTTCATTAGAGAAGTTGGAAAATTGACGTATATAAGCAATGAAAACTTGTTTGTTTATTTCACCGATTCTGATGACGTCCACAAAACATGACAGGAGCGGCGTAGCTAGCCTGTTATATGTAAGCCGTGGGTCCGACAACGTTCACTTTTGCTTGAAAATTTTTAATCCATGGTGATTCTTTCATGATAAATAACAAACTTGAATATTGAATGTTATGTTTACTATGTTGTTAATTGATTGCCCTTATCTGTTAACATTTATCTAGTTTCAACATTTTCTTCGCTTACTTCTTATAGTTGAACAAAAGCTCAGGAACCAAAAACAACAATAATATTAAGATAAACACAGACGCACACATTTTGTTTTCGATTTGCCATTGTTTACTTGCTTCTGTTTGCTGTCATCCATTCAGCTCAGCTTTCTACTGTACCAAGTGAGTGGCCAGCTCACCTGCCACCAGCAAATGACCTCGTTCTTTGGCCAGCTTGATCGCCTTCATCAAGTCAATCCCCGCTTTGGATACCGGAGGGCTTTGACCCAAAAAATTCCTAACATATTCCAAATGTCCTTCGGCCACCGCTCGATCCAGGTGGCTCATCCCCTGGCCATCGACGGCTGCAATGTCAGCCTTTTGCTCCAACAGCAATCGAACTACGTCCCAATGACCCCCGCTGGCTGCCAAATGAATCGGAGCTTCTTTCCTGTTGTTCAATCCATCGACCCTGGCTCCGGAAGCGAGCAAAAGCGACACAACCTCGATGAATCCCTTTTCGCAAGCCAAATGCAATGCCGTTTGACCTCGTTTGTCTTGCTCGTTGACGTACTGCTCGGCAATTCCCTGTTCGACGAGGGCCGGATTTCTCACCAGAATCGGTACCAGTCCGATGAAGTTTTGCGCAGCAGCAACGTGCAAAACCGTTCGACCGTCGTTTCCTTTCGCGAGAGGGGAAGCTCCTTTTTGGAGTAGCAGCCAAGAGCTTTGGTAGTTTTTCTGCAGTGCTGCCAGATGGAGCGCTGTACTGCCCGTATTGTTGGTTGCATCCACGGAGATTCCATGGCGGAGCAGAACTTTGATGCATATGGGAGATTTTACAACCGTATGAAGTGGTGATGTGCTCTTGGCGATGGCAGACCGACCAAGCAGAAGTTCAATTGCATTAGGGTGGCAGAACTTCAGGGCCAAGTCTAAGGGGGTCATCCCATTCTTGTCAACAGCATTCACTTCTGCTATAGTATCAACAAGTAAGATCTCTAAACAGTCGATGCTTCCGGCTTCGGCTGCAGCATGCAAGGGCTGATCCAATGTATCGGCTGGTGATCTCAAGCGAAGAAGCTCCTGGGCAATGTGGTGTTTCTTTTGTCTCAAAGCCAATCGGTAGGTGTCACCTTTGTCGTGAACATTAACTCCGGATTTGTGCAAGGCACGGAGGATTTCAACGCGGTCACTGCGTATCGCCCAGTTCAGTGTTTCGTTATAATCCGAACAGGTGCGTACTTCGTATTCCACTAGGATAGAGACGACTTCCTTGAATCCTCGAGCAACTATATGACCCAAGAACGTTAGCCACTGCTTGGCTGCTCCCACTTTCAGCTGAATGTTTTGCGTTATAAGAATCATAGCGATTTCCGCGTGGTTGTTGAAGGCCGCTATGTGCAGGGCGTTCCATTTCTTCTTCGTTTGCAAGTTCAATTGGCAGTGATTGTTAAGCAATAGTTTTACAAACTGAACATGTCCTGCCTGCGATGCCAGATGCAGAGGTGTGTACAGATTTTGATCGGTGGTATCTACGCTTGCTCCGTGATCGATTAGTAAGGTGGCAACGTTTATGGAGCCATTCAGAGCTGCTATGTGAAGAGCCGATTGTTTGTACAGATTCATGGCTTTCGGATCAGCCCCATTGTCAAGCAAGAGGGTACAAATTCGATCAGCATCAAGAACCGCTACACAGTGCAATGGGGTTTGCTTCAGCTTCGTAGAATACGCTGCTATGGCGGGATCTTCCTCGATCAACATCCTGGCTATCGGTTCCACGTTTTCTTCGCAGGCCCACAGCAAAGGGTATGGTCGCATGCACCAAAACAACTGTTCCAACTTTCCCAAACAGCTCGGATGCTGCTGGATCATGAGGAAGAAGAATTTCCGGACACTCGGGTAGTCTCGCAAGACCAGATAGTAAAGATCCCAGACATCTTTTGTTCCACGCTTCTTCGGTACTTCCCGCGAGTTTCGATTTTTTGCGAAGCTTTCAGTGACTTGATCCAATGTCATTCCAATCAGCTTTTCGACGAGGGACTTTGCGGCAAAGAACTCTCCTATGGACGCGTGGATGAAGTAAGATTGTTGTTGGATGTACTTGGTAACGATCGGAGAATCCAGGCACAATGCCTGCTGGTGAAGTTCCGAGAGCTGTTCGGCATCGCCCCCGAATTGTTGCTCCCTGACCACACTTAAAAGGCCGAGGAAGCAGTGCAATTTCTCGAATCCCTTGTAGAAGTAACTTTCGGGAGCCAGTATTTGCTGAACGTACCGGTTAGTTTCTATCAGTTTAAGCTTCTCGACATTTAGCTGGCGAAATGAACTGTAAACAAATCGGTTGTACAGTTGCAAGATACTCAACGAGTCAAGATCAATCGAATCCAGATACCTTCGGTCGTCCGTTTTACAATGGAGCTCAATGTTGATTTTGTAGATTTCGGCCAACATCTTGATAATTAGTGGTACTCCGAAGAACTTGCTTGCAAGTTCCAACGATTTGCTCTGGATTTTCTGGGTTAGATTTTGCAGAAATTTGGCAAGTGCACTGGATGAGCGGTCAACTTCGATCGAGCTTAGGAACAATTCTTTCTGATCCGAAGAACTCATCGGTTTGAGGAAGTGTGCCTTAACGCCGAGCGCTTTCTCCAATTCTTGTTGATGATGGATACGCGTGTTTACGAACACTCGCGCATGGTCACAGAGAGTTCTTAACATATCAATAGCACGATCCGTAACCTCATGCGGTAGTTCGTCAAACCCGTCGAACAGCAGGTAGACACTCTCCGGTATTACTTGCAGGCATTTGTAGAACAGGGTCCGATCAAGAGAAGATTTGAACGGCACGATGCTTCCCAACAATTCCATGCAATCGTTGAGGTTCTCCATACTCGATCCAGTTGTTAACAGGTCGACGCAATCCTGAAGCTTAACGACCATTACCCATCGGGAGGGATCCAGTTTTTTAGCCAGGAGCGCTAATCGGCTCCAGAGCGTGGATTTACCCATACCGGGCGTCGATGAGAGTATCACAATCTTGCTCCGTGCAAATACAGCCGGAATATCGGCGAGAAACTCCTCTTCTGTGTAGTTGACGCACTGACCAGCCTTCGGTGTCGCACTGGTCCCAGGATCCGATGCGATTGAATCCTCACCCCACTCGTCAGGATCACAGTTACTGATGATCCGAGGAATGTATCGCTTGGTTTCGAGTTTCACTAGCTCAGGACCCAAGGTGAGGGTTTCGACGCGGATCAGCTTCTCCAGGTCATCGTTTTTGAAGAGGTCTTTTGCGGAGTTGTAGCCTGGAAGCTTCATAAGCGTCCGTTCGTGACCCTGAAAGAGAACCGCTCGCCGCTTTAGGATGTGTTGACTTTGCTTAGATAGATGAGTCAGATTGCTGTCACTATCCATCACGGTGGTGAATGGAACTCCGTTAAAAAAACTGGACGCCCGATCTTTGCTGTAGGTAAGTAGGATGATTTGTGTATAGCTTTTGCCCTTGAAGAGTTTGGTGTGGAAATTGAAAGTGGGATGGTTATCTTTGAGTAGCAAATAAATCGGAGAGCTCTCTTTGCGAAGGACATCCAACAGTGTTCCCAGAACCGAGGAAATCTGCAGGTCCTCGAAGGTAAAATAACGGTACTGGGAACCTTTCAGTATCTGGTAGAGTTTAAGACTAGTGAGCAGCCCCTGCTGGCTGTTGGATATGATTGCCAAAGGGACCTGGCTTAGAGAAAGACTGACATTGGTAAATTCTAGGCGCAAGTTTTGCATCTTTCCTTGAAATATTTCCGTCCGAACATCCAGCTTAGAGCAGTTAAACGTGTGGAGTGCTGCTTGAAGTTCCGTTTCCAGTTCATGGCGTTCCAAGTAGGTTCCTTCCTTGCGGTCCAACCAAACATTCACCATCTTTTGTAGCTTGGTGTACCACAAGGTGGTACAGCTTTCCCGGGAGTCTGGATCTTGCATTGGAGAGTTGTACCTAGCCATAAGTTCTTGGTAGATGATTTTCTCAAGGGCTGCATTATTTGGCTGGTTGATGGCAAAGATGAGTCGATTGAAAAACAATTTGACATCCTTCCGATCAATTGCCGGAGGTAGGGTACTAAGTGAATTATCCTTGATCGTCAAATCTGCGCTCAGCTGGCTATCCGTTACGACATAGGAAATAAGTTCTTGTAACGTTACGTCGTCTCGAAATAGATTCTTACGGAGTTGCAGTTCCAAGGGATCCAGATTTTTTTTCTTAATGAACCTCGGTGTAAATTTCACCAATGTCTTATCGACAACTAAAATTTTACTTGCTATCGCACCGCGGTATTTCCTTAACACATCCGTCTTGACATCAGTTCTTCCGTCAATGAAAATCGCCTTCAGTGCATCCACTAATTCATTGAAAGCTCTACTGCCATACTCAACCAACTTGTCGCAAAATCGATCGTTGAACTTCATTTTCAGCAGTCGTGATTCACCGCCAGGTATTTTCAAGATCCCATCGACATCCTTCTCGCAATCTTCAAACCATTCGAGGACAGTCATACCGAGCTCACAGTTCGTGAAGATAACGTACTGCTTCCGTCCGGCAAACTTCTCGTTGCGTTCAATGTCCCAAAACGAGAGCAGATACTTGTACAGTGAAAAATCTCCGTCCCCTTTTTTCGCTTCTGTCGTCGGAAGCAGCAGCCTCTGAACTAGCGTTTCACATACCTTGTGTTTGACCTGTACGAACAGCCAGTTTTTCAAGGCACCATCTTGCCATGAGAGCACCGCGTCGTCGAATTTTCCAGCGGCTTCCATCTCCGATGCCAATCGAAAGTCGGCATAGTTGGACCTCCCGGTGGTCGCTGCCCGCTCGTAGAGCCACATTAGCACGTGCACTTGGTAGTCAGTGCCGTGACGGCTTCCTAGAGTACCACCCTTGAGGTATCCTTGCTGGGCCATTACCGGTGCAGTTGCGCTGGAAGAAGTATCCCGGATAAAAGAAAAATATCATAAATATACAATCCAACTTATCGTTACAATAATACAGCATAAAATTGAAAGGCCATAACTTGTATTCCTAACTTATCCAATACAAATAAGATAAAACATATGGTTACCGACCATGGTAAAAAAAATGGTAAATCGGCAAAGCTAGGCTATAACCGAAGACAACATATTTATAAAGAACATTGACAGCTTTGCCTGAATCCAAGCGACAGATACAGTAGCGCCATAGAGGAATCTCTAAGACTCTCAGAAGGTTCCGAAGAAACGTGCTCAACTTTCTGGCTCAGCTCTGGTACTCTCTTCGGTCCCAAATTAATCCACGAACCCATCATTTTATCTGTCAAACTTTCATAGCGAATCAAAACAAACGTAGTGTAGTACTAGAATTTCGACTAGAATGGGGTATGTTAATCGATTTCCTTGGGGCCAATAGGCTCGTCAAGTAGTGAGCCAATTTAAAATCGTTAGTATCCACCGGTTGGTAGCGCTGCGCTCGAGCGAAGGTGGAAGCAGCGAATAGAATAAAATGAGCAAATACACAAACCTTTCTTCTGAGGATGGAACCTTTGCTATCCAATTCTAAAGGAGCATTTACCTTTGAGCGGCAGATGACGCGATTGTACCTGCCTCATACCGGTTGTATGAGAAACTGGAAGAGTTGCCAGTCTTTTTGATATGTTTACACCACCGGCCACAATGTTTGCAAAAAGTGCCAGAAGACCGTTTCCGATTCAGAGCGCAATTTTTGCCGTGGTTTCTGTGGTGAAATTTTTCACGTCATCTGCGCCAATGCTGAGTTGAAGCTTCTCGACCAGCTAAGAATTTTGGAGAAGAACGGATGTGCGATCACTGTGTTGAGCTGTTCACTAACGGGCATTTCCGCAACATCATGAGTCGTGATAATGTCCAGGACTCGATGATACCTGACGCTGTCGAACAATGAAGGGGGATATTGAAAAGTTGAACTCGGCAGTGTTCGCCCTTGCAGCCAACGTTGATTCGAAGCTGTCGTCTACTTCGACCTTGTCTTGGCCCCGATCCGATCGGCTTGCCTCCGTTCGAAATACTCCAAAGCGTCGCCGGACTTCGATTAGTGCGAACGAACAGCCTATTCTAAGCGGTACGAAGCCTCCTAGCGAGTCGATCAAAATTGTTGACCAAAATTCGGACAAAGTGTGGGTGTATCTTTCGGCATTTCACCCCAGCGCTACGAACGATGAAATTGCGACACTCGTTCGCGACTATTTGGCATTGGAGCCCAGTGATGCTGTAATTTATTTTTTACTTGTCTTCGTATAATAAAAACGCACAGACAGAATTATTAATGTCTAGTTAAAGAACTAATCCTATTTTTAAACATGGTTTTCGAAATATTAAAATCATAATCTTCACGCGATTCGTTAAAACGACGGCAAAAAACATCCAGTGGATTGTTTTGACCGTAGACTGTACGATGCTGAAGAATACGGAGAAGGTCATTTTGTCGCGTCTGCCTAGCCGGTGCATTGAACTGGATTTTCCCTAGAAGTTCAGCACAATCTACATTGTTGTCCAGAGTGTCGAATATGAACAGCCGTTGCAGAAGAATCCTTCTATCAGCCAATGTTGAAAGACGAATTAAAGCACAGCGATCCTCGTACGGCGGAAGAACAACCGGATCGTTCCATGGTAACAGTCGTAGAGCGGAGCGGACAAAGTTACGTTGAATCTTTTCAATGCGAAAGCAAAGCGTGACGTGATACGGTGCCCATACTAGAACGCCATATTCCAGTATGCTGCGCACTAGCGAACAACACAATGTTTTTAGACAGTATACATCCTCAAATTGCTGCGTGTTGCGGATGAACCCTAGTATCGCATATGCTTTGGCGGTGGTTGTTGCAATGTGCTCGGTGAATTTCAGCTTACTGTCCAGTATTAATCCAAGATCCTTGATTGATGACACACGGTTGACACTTGAAGCGTTCATCTTATAATCGAAAATGGCAGTTGTCCTAGATCGGCTGAACGAGATGATGTTACATTTACGAATGTTCACTTCCATTCCGTTTAGTGAGCACCATTGAAGAGCGCAACAATCGACCATGGAGGTTATCAGGCGGAAGAATTTCAGGTCATTAGCGAACATGTACCTCGGTGATCTGATGAGTCCGCACAGATCGTTAACAAACAGCACGAAAAGTAGTGGTCCCAAATGACTTCCTTGGGGAAACCCGGAAGTAATTGAGAACGTTTCAGATGAGGTTCCACCGAGGCGTACAAAAGCCCAACGCTCAGACAAGAACGATTCAATCCATTGGGTAAGCCACTGAGGGAATCCCATGCGTTTGAGTTTTTCCACTGCCAGTGCATGCGGCACTTTGTCGAATGCTTTAGAAAAGTCGACATAAACTGCATCGACCTGTTGTCGCTTTTTAAGGCTGTCAACAAGAGAAGAAACACATGTTGAACGTTACGATACAAAGAATAATGGACAAGACTCTCCAAGACTTTAGGAAAGCAACTCAAAATCGAAATTGCACGTTAATTTTCGACGTCATTAACATTACCACTTTTATGAATGGGAGTGATGGCTGCAGTTTTCCATTTTTTGGGAAATATGCCCTCCGAAAGAGATCTGTTGAAGAGTTTACTCACAGGCAAAGCGATTGACTCCGCACACCGATTGATGAAGAAAGGTGACAGACGATCCGGACCTGCTCCTTTCGAAGTGTCGATAGAAACCAGCTTAGCAAAAACATCTTGCCGAGAGAAGTTGTAGACGGTCACGTTCAAGTCGTAGTGCGGCAAATTGCTCAAGTACGATTCAGTCAAAGGTGGTCGGTTATTACTTTGCACACTTCGAAAGAACGCCGAGAACAGATTTGCAGATTCTGATGGAGATTCAGCTGCCTCACCTTGGTAACGAAGATGTCGAGGCATTCCGTTGGATCGCTTGCGGGTCTTCACATACTGCCAGAATTGTTAGGGGTTCTGTTTCAAACTTGTTGGTGTAACAACGGTCATGCCACCTTTCACTACACACCTTGATGCAAAGAGCTATCCTGTAGTGACAGTGATAGCGAAAGAGACGGTAGCAGAGCGAGAGCGCAGCATCAGCCTTCTGCTGTGTGCGCCATTTTGTATCATTCGCAAAAGTAAACTCGATGTGTGTACATCTCGTGTAAATAAAGTTTATATCATCAAACATTAAAAAAACTCGGCCTTTCATTCCGCTGGAACTTCAGTCCAAGAGGTTATGGGCCCAGTTATCGTTGGAAGTGCTTGAGTTTTGTTGTTCGCGGAACGGTAGTGGATTTTTTCACCGGTGTTGTGAGTCGAACGAATCGAATCGTAACTTTGCAAGTGACCGGGTTTTGCTTGTGGAAAACAAGATGGCGGACATGAAAGTGACGATCGAGAAGTTGAACGACGGTAATTACGCGGTATGGAAATTTAAAATGCGTTTGCTGCTAACGAAGGAGAAGCTTCTGAGAGTGGTGACCGATCCGAAGCCAGCGGCTTCTGATGCGACCTGGAGCTCTAACGATGAGAAGGCGCAAGTGGTTATCGGCTTGGCATTGGAAGACACGCAGCTGATCCACGTTATGCAGAAGCAAACGGCGAAGGAGATGTGGGATGCGTTGAAGGACTACCACGAGCGCGCATCTCTGTCCAGCATAATCCACGTAGTGCGTAAGTTAATTACCATCCGAATGACGGAAACCGGTGATATGGCGGAACATTTGAAGGAGATGGCGGCTCTCCGGCTTCGGTTGGTGGCACTGGGGGAAGAAGTCAAGGACAACTGGTTCGTTGCGTTGATGTTGTCCAGTCTTCCCAGATCGTACGACGGTTTGATCGTGGCACTTGAAAGTCGACCAGATGCAGACCTCACAGTGGACTTTGTGAAAGGTAAACTGCTGGACGAAGGTCGACGTCGTGCTGAAAGTGAGAGTGATAGTACGTGTGAAAAGGCACTGGTCATGAACACAGCTAAACCATAGAGGTAACTCTAAGACCACTGGGTCCCGAAGAAAATCATTATTATTTTTGGCTCACTCAGTACCAGAACAACGGTCCCAAGCAGTCCCAAGCTATTTCACTCACCCCTGCATGTTCTGCATGAATCCACACACCCCTGATGTTATCTGTCAAACTTTCATAGCGAATCAAAACAAATATAGTGTAGTAATGGAATTTCAACTAGAATAGGGTACGTTAATCGTTTGCTTGGGACCAATAGGCTACTAAAGTGGTGAGCCAATTTAAAATCGTTAGTTTCGTATTGATTGTTGGCTAAACCGAAGTATGCAAGTAAGCACTACGTGAAGAAAGAAGTGTTGTGTCATTACTGCAAGAAGGAAGGACATTTTCGGCGGGATTGCCGGAAATTAGCGCAGGACAAGCGGGAAAAAGAGAAGACGGATGGTCAGAAGGTGAGTATGGCCATTAAATCCGGTTCTTTTTTTGAAACGTGCTTGGCAGCAGGTGAAACCGATAGAACTGGTTTCTGGTACCTGGATTCAGGTGCCACAGCACATATGACGAGTGACGCGTCGTTGCTGGATGGTGTGGATAAATCTAAGGCAACGGCGGTCTGCCTGGCGGATGGAAAATCCATCAAGTCAGCTGGAAGTGGTATCGGTAAGCTAGTCTCCTTCAACGGAGATGGCATCAGGATGAACGTTCGGCTCGAAAACGTCCTGCATGTTCCATCGCTCGCTGGTAACCTGCTGTCGGTAAGTAAAATCACAGATTTGGGTTTTCGGGTGCTGTTTGGGAAAACGGAGTGTCATATCCTGAAAGGAGAAGATACAGTGCTAGTTGGGCAGCGTAAAGGAGGGTTGTACCACTTGAAGCAAGCTCCGGAGAAGGCATTTCTGGTTGATCCGAAACATGCAGACCTGTGTCATCATTTGTGGCATCGTCGTTTCGGACATCGCGATGTGCAAGCTGTAGACAAAATAATACGTGATAACCTGGGATACGGGTTGAAAGTGGATCAATGTGAAGTTCAGTCGGTGTGTGGTCCGTGTTGTGAGGGGAAGATGGTTCGAGAGTCGTTCCCAAAAGTGTCGGACAGCAAATCTAGCGCAATAGGAGATCTAGTGCACACTGACTTGGGCGGTCCAATGGAAGAAGAAACGCCAAGTGGTAATCGATTCTACATCGTTTTGGTAGACGATTACAGTCGTTACACGGTAGTGCATCTGTTGCGTCGGAAGTCGGACGCAGAAGAGAAAATCCGGGATTTCTGCAGTCTGGTGAAAAATCAGTTCGGGCATTATCCCAAGAAGATTCGTTCTGACGGTGGTGGCGAGTACACGGGTGGTTCGTTGCGGAAGTTTTTCACGGAGCGTGGAATAGTTCATGAGCAGACGGCACCGTATTCACCACAGCAAAATGGTGTCGCCGAGCGGAAGAACCGCTATCTCGTTGAGATGCTGCGGTGTATGCTTTCCGAGTCACGGTTGAACAAGAGGTACTGGGGCGAAGCGATTTGCACTGCAAACTATTTGCAGAATCGTTTGCCGTCATCTACAGTCTGTAAGACACCGTTTGAGCTCTGGAACAACAAGAAACCTTCCTACGGTCATATAAGGATCTTCGGATCGAAAGCGTACGTGCATATCCCCAAGGAAAAGCGGCGCAAGCTGGATTTCAAGGCTGAGAAGCTGGTGTTCGTAGGGTATGCTGACGGTCGTAAGGCGTATCGTTTCTTGAACCCTGAAACGGATATGATTATGATTAGCAGGGATGCAAAGTTCTTGGAGTTATGCGATACGAAAGAGGCTGTTCGGATCCAGGGTCTAGAAGCAGGAGGAGTACTGGAAGTACCGCTAGTGTTGCCATCAGGAGATGCGTCTCGGGATGAGACGGATGGGACCTCAACATCATCGGAAGAAAATTCGGAGTCGGTAGAAGAATTCATGGAATCGGTAGAAGACGGTCGGGATCTGAATGGATCGTTCTACGATAGTGCTTCGGAAGGAAACCAATCGTTTCATGGCTTTCCTTTAGATGAAATAGCACGGCGTTCGAGAAGATCAACGAAGGGTATCGCGCCTCAGAGACTGATTGAGGAGATTTTTGCTGCGGAGTCTGTGGATACGGAGGTGGTCGAACCAAGATTCTTGAAGGAAGCGGTGACCTGTGAACAGAAAGAAAGTTGAAAAGCGGCAATGGTTGACGAGCTGAAATCTCACTCACAGAATGGGACGTGAAGAGGAACGCAGCTGGTGACATCATCAAACACAAGGCTCGTCTGGTAGCTCAGGGATATTCCCAAAAGTACGGAGTTGATTACGACGAGATTTTCGCACCGGTATCCAGCCACACCACACTGCGGGTGCTGTTAGCCGTTGCTAGCAAGAAGGGAATAACGTTGAAGCATTTGGATGTGAAAACGGCCTACTTGTACGGCGATTTGAACGAGGAGATTTTCATGAAGCAGCCACCTGGATTCATAGCAAAAGGTAAGGAAAACATGGTGTGTCGTCTGAAAAAGAGCATTTACGGACTCAAACAGTCCGCACGATGCTGGAATCAACGATTGCACGGTGTCCTTGTGGAAATGGGGTTCCAGCAAAGTGTTGCTGATCCGTGCCTGTACACAATGCTGATTCATGGAAAACGTGTATACCTGATTGTGTATGTGGACGATATTTTGGTTGGTTGCGAAGATGAAGCGAAGATCGAAGCGGTGTATAAAACGCTGAAGCAGTATTTCGAAATCACCAATCTTGGAGAGCTCAAATACTTCTTGGGACTAGAGATTCGGAAGGAATATGGAAAGTACAGTGTTTCAGTGGAAGGGTACATCGATCGTGTTGCGGAGAAGTTTGGGCTCCGTGATGCAAAGCGGGCGAAGACGCCAATGGAAGAGGGTTTCCAGAGCACGGAAGATAACAGTCCTCAACTGTCGGACGGGATGGATTATCGGAGTATTGTCGGAGCGCTTCTCTACATTTCCGTGTGTGCTAGGCTGGATGTAGCAGCTAGCGTAGCGATATTGGGTCGTAAAGTGAGTGCGCCTACGGAGGCGGATTGGATAGCGGCAAAACGTGTTGTCCGCTACTTAAAGGCAACGAAGGAGTAGAGATTGAAGTACAGCGACGCGGCTGGAAAGCTAATCGGATATTCGGATGCCGATTGGGCTGGTGACGTTGGTACAAGAAGATCAACAACAGGATTCGTCTTCCACTATGCCGGTGGAGCAGTATCGTGGGCTAGTCGAAGGCAAAGTTGCGTTACAATGTCTTCGATGGAATCCGAATATGTGGCGCTGAGTGATGCTAGTCAGGAACTGATCTGGCTTCGGAGCTTGCTGAAGGACATGGGTGAACAGCTGAGCGATCCTGTCAAAGTGATGGAGGATAACCAAAGCTGTATCCAGTTCGTAACGTCAGAACGCAAGAGTCGTCGGTCCAAGCACATTGAGGTGCGGGGACATTTTGTGAAGCAACTGTGTGATGACGGATGCATCGAGTTGCAGTACTGTCCAACTGAAGACATGGTGGCTGATGTACTCACTAAACCGGTGGGTTCAGTCAAACAGATGAAGTTTGCACGGATGCTGGGATTGTCATCATAGGATGGCAGTGTTCGTTGAGGAGGAGTGTTGGTGTAACAACGGTCATGCCACCTTTCACTACACACCTTGATGCAAAGAGCTATCCTGTAGTGACAGTGATAGCGAAAGAGACGGTAGCAGAGCGAGAGCGCAGCATCAGCCTTCTGCTGTGTGCGCCATTTTGTATCATTCGCAAAAGTAAACTCGATGTGTGTACATCTCGTGTAAATAAAGTTTATATCATCAAACATTAAAAAAAACTCGGCCTTTCATTCCGCTGGAACTTCAGTCCAAGAAAACTTGCTTCAGTACGATGAATGTAGCAGCGAAAGCATTGTGCATGCAAAGAGTTATATTCGCTCTCTAAGTCACGCAGCTCAGCCTTATGCTGTTCATTCCTAGACCGAAAGTAACGCTTCCTTGCCCTGCGTAGACGATTTCGCAGCCGTTGCAGTTCATTGTTCCACCATGGTTGTTTCTTCCTGTGGGTGTCGATCCGTTGTTTTAGAAGCACAACTTCGCTGATGATTCCATAAAGCTTGTCGTAGAATATCGATACCGCTTCGTCGACACTGCAACCAATTAGAAGATTCACCCATCCGACGTCCGAAATCATTGAGCTCAAAACTGCAAAATCACATCGCTTGAAGTCAAAATCTAACGGATCAGTTGCTCGGGAAATTTCACATTCGCTTGCAGTTTCAATCACAAGCACCAATGGTTTATGATGTTCATCAACACGCAGTAGCGGTGACGGGGGCTCCACAAGCTCGAGTACATTGCTATCAGTAGAGAAAACCAAATCTAGTATCCTTCCATTCGCATTACCATAATGATTCAACTGATGCAGACCATTAGCGATGAACGATTCAACCACAGTGAACTCCTGCTCAGAAGACGTATTTGTAGGTAGCAAACATCGCAATTCATCATCATGGTCCCAATTCAAGAAGGGTAGATTGTAGTCACCAACAACAACAACCAAACCACGATCACCCGCTTGATCCATCAGTCTTTGAACACATGAACAGTGCTGTTCATACAATGCATTGTCGCTGTTGGGAGTAGAGGGTCCAATTCGGGAAATCCCGGGATTTCCCGGGATAGCCTAAATCCCGAATCCCGGGATTTCCCGATTTTTTTCTTTTTCAATCTCTTATGCAAAAATATTCGAGATTGTGTTTACATCTCTGTGGTTAGTGAAAGAGAAAATAGGTGAAAAGAATCGATATAAACAGATAGGACCATTTTCAATATTCGTCGAGATTTCATCGTAATGTTCGTGCCACCAGACCTTATATAAGCATCATTGGTGTGTGACAGGCTTAAAAACAAAAGGAATGAAAAAAAACACATCAATAACAAAGGAGGCTCCTGGATTCACTGCATTCGCAAGCATAACGTTCCATATTTCCGGTACAAATACTGATGCGCGTCGTAATTACACTCAAAGCAGGTAAAATAAATGTTTTTTTTATCCTCAAAGCGTTGGTCTTACGCGATTTGTCTTAAATTAATTGCAGAAGCTATGGCGGACGTGTGGCAACATTTTAAGAAACTTCCCGACGAGCGCGCCCAGTGTTTGAAGTGTCCGCAAATTCTGTTATGCAAAGGTGCTTCAACTAGTGGTTTGTGGTGGCCAGAACCAACTCCGGTACCGGCGAAGCAGCCCAAGTTGTCCGTTAATTCAACCGTGAAGCAATCGTCGTTGGATCCGTTTCTGAAACGAAGTTCACTTCGCGAGATTGTTGCACGTCTAGCGGCATTGGACGGGATATCGATTGCTGCCATTACGAAGAGCAAGTTTATTCGAGAGTCAGTGTCAGCTAGAGGATTTAAACTGCCAACATCCAAATCCACGATAATCAAACTCATCCATGAGTTCTACGATGAAATTAAAAATCAGACCAAGAAGGAATTTCACGACAGGATCGTCGAAAAAAAGGAGCTCGTCAGTCTTACAACAGATGATTGGACCAGTTCTGCTAACAAGCGATACTTGAACATTAACGTTCATTTCGCAGATGGTTCATGTTACAACCTAGGATTGTCTCGGATTCACGGTTCTTTCCCAGCAGAAAAGATTGCCCATGCTATCGAACAAGTTACCAAGGACTTCGGCATTGACATTGGCTCTATAACGGCCGTAACACCTGGCGCAGCTTCGGTAATGGTAAAATTTGGGAAAATCGTGCCATATTTCCACCAGCTATGCTACAACCACGCATTGCACCTTGCCGTACAAGACGTCATCAATCAAATGAACTCCAACGAATCCGAGTCCACGGCAAGTGAAGAACATTCTTCTTCTGAAATTCAGGATTTTGATGACGAAGATAGTGACAACGAAGACCGACACGATTATTCTGATAACGAAAAGTTCTATTCATCCGGTACGCTATGAACTTCTGTTATTTGTTTTTCATATTACTATTTTTCTATCATTATCTTGTCATTTATTTTTCAGATTGCTACAATACTAAAACATTTGGAAAAAAACTCTTAAGCAGATCCGAAATGTAGTTCGGATGTTTCGTCATTCACCGGTGAAAAACTCGGTGCTGCAAAATAAAGTTGTTGGAAGAGTCAAGAAACCTCTTCAGCTTTTGCTGGACGTAAAAACCAGATGGAATAGCACTGAAAAAATGCTGGAGCGGTATTTCAAATTACATGATTGTGTAGAGGAAGCACTCGAAGAGTGTGTATCCAGTGAAGATTTTATTTCGGTCAGATCCCTCTTTGAAGCTTTGCAGGCAATACGACTCGTTTCGGAAGCCTTAGGACGTCGAGATGCTACGTTGTTGACGGCGGAAGGTAGTCTGAGCTTTTTGCTATCAAAACTTAAGAGTATGGGCAACCCTATTTCAACGAAACTCTACGAGGCGGTTCTGAAGAGAATCAATGAGAGACGAAACATCAAATTGGTTTCACTTCTAAAATTTTTTCAGAACAGCATTGCCTCAACATCATCTGTTGAGTTACCTGTGATTTCACGCAACCAGCTGTTCAAGTTCGTCAAAGAAGAATGTACTCGTTTTTTTCACATGTACTTCCGACGACCAACATGAAGCAACGGTGGATGACACGAGTAAGAACCAACATCAATCTTTAAAGGACGCGTTGGAAACCATTATCCAACAGCATGCTGGATCTAGTAGCATGCCAACGACAGAAAAAACGATCGCGGAAACATTGCTCAAAAGGTCATTCAAAAATAGATTTCTTTTTACGAGTTGACCGGAGACCTAACAGCTGGTCTGAACATCTTGTTAACTGCTCTCAAATCCATCAAGCCAACTTCAACGGATAGCGAGAGAGCTTTTTCGGATTCGGCGAACATCTGTTCCAAAAGGAGATCATCACTGTCAGATGCAAGTATCCATGAACTTTGCTTCTTGAAATCTTATTTTAAGAGGAGCAACTGATTATAACATGTTTGAGTCTATATTCATTCATTCATTTACTCATTGTTAAGTTTTAAAGTTGAATAAAAGCGTTAATTTTTGGAAAATAATGTTTTTTTTAAAGCATATCAAAATTTCCCGGGATTCAAAAAAAAAAATCCCGAATCCCGGGATTTTTTTAGACCCGGGAAATTGGACCCTCTAGTTGGGAGGGAGATAAATACAACAGACGAAGAGTTCAAATGTAGGCAGCTTGATCCGAACGATTATTTGCTCCAGACACTCGGTACCAGCAATCGAAACAGCGACACTGTTCAATGCATTACGGACGCCGACCAAAACACCACCACCTCGTCGAAATTGGCTTGGCGTTGCTATCACAGCGATAGATTGTATAGTAGTGTGATAATTCAGAATTAGAAATATCAGCACCGAGCCAGGTTTCGGTGAAAGCTATCACATCGTAGTCAGATTGGGATAGTGCTAGCAGTACTTGGTTTGTTTTGGTGCGTAACCCACGTACATTCTGGTAGTACAAGCGTGGACGTACAATGTATATTGTTAGTGAATTGCTGCTGTCTATCAGTGGAGTCTGGATGTAAAGGAGTGGTTGTGTTTCGGGACTGCGTTGTTGTGGTTGAACAGCTGATCATCTGTGAGGCTCCACCGATATCTAGGGCGCCCAGTGAACTACTGTGTTGTGGGTCCGAAGCGAAAAATAGGCCGATCCGACGATGATTGCTTGGAATCGAATGGACGAAATACTATTCCTTGTTGCCACGTCGATCCAAGGAGGGCTTGTTCCTGCAGCTGCAAACCAATTCCGACTTTGAAGGAAACAAAAGTAAGTTCGTTAAGATTTTTGCCTTTGGGAACTAACTTAGTTACTTCAATGTCATCATCAGTGTCGAGATTTTCGATTTAAGTTGCTGATGCTGAAGGGTCGAAACCGGACAAGTACAGCCAAAATTTCTTTTGCTTTTTAGCTGTTGCAAGTGGGATGGTAACCCCGGGTTCTATTTGTTTCGTCCCAGGAGACTCTGTTTGTTGTCGTGTGTCGTTGTCAGAAGTTATCGGTGTTGGCTGGGTTTGTTCGTTACGCGTTGCTGATTGTTCGAGAATTGTGTTGATTTTGGTAGTGTTTTGAGCGATCTCGTTCCTCAGTTCATTCAATACCTTGTTTTGATCTTCAACCAAAACATGCATTGCAGTATTGGTGGACGTAATTGCTTGTCGAAAGGAAGCGTTCGCCATCATTTTGATGCAAGCTTTGCACATCCAAAATAGTTGGGAACAAGCTGCAATGTTATCACGAGTAGCTGGGGTCTGATGAACGCATTTTAGATGGAACGACGACTTGCAAAATCCATTGCACATAATTTCATCAGCTTTGGCGAGACTTCTGGCACAAGAGAAACACACAGTTTCCATTGTTACTATGGCGGATCACACGTAGTGTACGTTGAGACGGTAAATCGATAAATTTTGCTGATTAAACGGTATGTAGGTGCGGTACTCCAGCGGGATGCGATAGGGTGATGTGAAAAGTACTCGATGGGTCGTTCGGGTGTAACAATTTTATGAAAAACGTTAAAAAATCACGAATTAGCACAGAGAAAACAAGAAGCACAATCGAATTGTTTACTTCACACACACATTTGGTGATGGTGACTAAGTTGGTACCAAGAGGGAGAAATCCATCTACGTTGAACCATAGAGGTAACTCTAAGACTAGTAGGTCCCGAAGAAACGTGCTCAACTTTTTGGCTCAGCTCTGGTACTATCTTCGGTCCCAAGCTAAGCGATGCATCCCTCAAATTGTCATAGAGAATCAAAACAAACATTATGTAGTACTAGAATTTCGACTGGAATGGGATACGATATTCGATTTGCTTGGGACCAATAGGCTAGCCAAGTAGTGAGCCAATTTAAAATCGTTAGTTTCCACCGGTTGGTTGAACTTCGTGTCGTTCAAGATTGGTGTAAAGGAGGATCTTCGTGATTCGGCACTTTCCTGCGATTCTTGGCCGGAGAGTATTCCGTTTCGCGAATTTGAAGATTCGCGCACACTGGAAGTCATCAAATTAAAAAAAATCCAGCCCCTATGGAGTGACGACGGTATCTTGGCCTATCATACTCTCAGCATCCGAGACGCACCGTAGAAATTCTGATGGAAGCTCCCAAAAACCCCAATTCAGTCCTGCGTAATGCCGCCTTCGTTCATCATAGTCGTCTCGGCCCCAAGGTTGGCGGTGAAAAGGGAGTCTTCCACAACGCTTGCTCAGGCAAGTATCTCTATTATTCGTGTTTGCCATTGTGTGATCAGTTTTCCCGCATCCCTCGAGGCTAAACGAATGGTCTCCAAGAATAAAGCTGCACCAGGACGCACAGTAGAAAGCATTTTGGGAGTCCCCAGCTCCTCTAGCTCAGTCGTGCCTATTGCTGCCTGTGTTCATTCAAGTCGTCCTGGCCCTGAGTCTAGATGCGGGCTGAGGGTCTCTCAGCTTGCTACACCAGGCAAGTACCACTGTAATTGTGAGCTTTCGTAGCCTATAGATGTTGATCCGAATTTTAGTGCCAAAGAAACTACATCTGCCAGTTGGTTTTCCGGAGCCTCCTCTGCTAGCCGGATACCGGGACGCACTCTTATCGCTCGTCTTGAGGAAGCTCCTTTTCTACTCTCCGTATTCGAACCCTTCCCGCCACCGACCAGCAGACATCGCGGTCCTGCGCTTGAGTCGAGAAACGGGGTTTTCCGAAATGTTTTGCCCGACATCAAAGCTTCTGGACCACCACCGAGATGTATTGAGGATAGCACTGCGGAAGCCCCCGATTCCACATCCACATCATGTCAACTACCAGCATGAGACATCCGTCTACTACCAGAACGTCGGTGGTATCAACTGTGATGTTGACGATTTTCGCGTAGCAACTACGACATCATTATTCTCACGGAGACATGATTGAATTCACGCACGCTCTCTCATCAGGTGTTCGGCGACGATTACGAAGTTTTCCGTTGCAATAGGAATGCTGATAATAGCCGGAAAGTTAAAGGTGGAGGTGTTTTAGTGGCTGTAAGTTCTAGGTTTAAAGCGAGATCACTAGGAAGTAATGCTTGGATATGCTTAGAGCAGGTGTGGACATCGATCAAACTGGGCAATCGCTCATCGAGACCCATTGCCAATCGGTTTTCTCTGTTCTGGATACCGCTAAAGCAACCGATGATGTTATTGTGTTTGGTGACTTGAATCTCCCGGGGATTTCATGGAAAAACAAACTCGCAACGGCTTCCTCTATCCTGCTATGGATCACTGTGTCATCCATTCCAACGCTTCGCTCCTTCTGAACGATTACAGCTCAGGCCAAGGGGTAAGTCACTCAGCACATTGTGCCGAAATTAGATTCAACCAAGCTTGGGCACATCCATCGGCACACCTTCAGCATACCTTCGGCACAATCCTGTAGGAATTAGATTGTTGTAAATAAAATTGGTGCACTGCTGGAGAACTGTCATTGATGTTGTTCACAACATTACGTACTGTTGGACTGTATATTCAAGAACATCTTCTAATTGAATATACCAGAGGAAATCAGACCAGCCGTTCACTTAAAGATCTAAATATGAAATGTAGGTTCTAGAGTTGGCTCGAGAGAAAGAGGCAGTTAATCAGACCCCATTAGTACCCTTAGTTCAAATAATGCTGCAACTCACACAAAACAAACTAAAGAAGTCTATTCATCACCCTCTATAGTCGGTCTCCAACAATGCTCCCCACCGGTTCCAACTATTTCCAGCCGCTGATATACCGATGCTTTTCACATCACGAAAAGCTAGGTTTCTGGTCTGCCTTTGAGGGCATTATAAAACCCTAAAACACAGGACTTTTATTACCCTATGGAAAACAAACATCAAAATTTCGCACACCCGCCACTTCCGCGTCATCCTTAATCCGATTTATCCTTGCAATTTCAAACCAAAACATTCATGGTGTCAGAA